ATTAGTCTGCCCAGCTTTAGCTAACCAATGAGCACATTTGTTGTTTTCTCTCTTGGTATGAACAAGATGAATAGTCCAATCTGCTTTTAACCATAATCTCAATCTGCTAGTGACTTGAGAGTCCCTAGGATCTTCATGCTGCTCCTTTAACATCTGGATGGCTTGGCTAGAATCACATTCTAGCTCTATTCTTTTTAATCCTGTTCCCCAAAGCAGTTCCAAACCTTTCAGTAATCCCCATAATTCTGCATCAAGAGGATTACAGGAACCTAAATTACAATAGAAGCTTCCCAAAAAGGATCCATTGTGATCTCTTAATATACCACCACAACTAGCTTTTTTAATGCCACTAGAAGAAGCTCCATCACAATTCAACTTAACCCACCCTTGCTTGGGGGCTGTCCAAACGCTATCGTTGGAATCACCACGGCGCTGATAAATTCGGGCTTGCAGAATCTGTTGGACAAACATCCAAATTGAAGCCCGCGATTGCTCATCATGACAGAAATGATCTTCATGGATCTCCAAATTTCTCCACTTCCACAAAAACCAACAAGTAGTAAAGAAAATATCCCTCCAGTCCTTCACTTTATCGGAGGACCACATGTTATCGATATTTAAAGTCAACCAATCCTGCAAATTCGAATTCATAAAGGAATTGGGTATCGAACCTGTAAACCAAGATTGCCAAATTTTCCTAGCATGTCTACAATCACGAAGAACATGAATAATAGTTTCCTCATGATTTGGACAACTTGGACAGACATTTGAACCTTCGCTCCACTTACTGGTTTTGCTGCGCACTAAAAGTTTAGCAAGCAAAGTCATCCACATAAACACTTTCACTCGTTCAGGTCCATTCCACGACCAAACTTTTTTCCATAAGCTAGTGTGAACATCTGCTGGGAAGTTCATAAGATTACAGTAAGCGACCTTAACCAAAGAAGTTGAGTGATGATTATTGATCCAAACTAATCTATCCTCCCCATTCCTTGGAATAAGCCTGAGATGATTTGTTACTGCATCAGCCAAATCTGACTCCAGAAATAGATGAACAACTTCAAGACGGAAACCATCATCCACCATGTAATCTGCAATTGATTTCTAACTCTCCTCCCACGGCACCTGATTGCTCGACAACTGCTGCAAATTTTCCTCCCATCCCAACCAGTTATCAGTCCAAAGCTTTACTTCAGAACCATCTGCTATTTCCCATCTAAGACCAGCAAGGAAATTACTCCAACATTTAGCAAGATCACGCCAAAGTTTAGAGTCATATGATTTTGCCTTTATACCTCTCCTTAAGTCTTGACCTCTACGATACTTGGCTACTAAAATCTTAACCCATAAATCATCTTTCTTAGTTAACACCTTCCATGCCAGTTTATGAATATAAGCTTCATTTTGGAGTCGAAGATTAATTATTCCCAAACCACCTCTATCTTTGGGTTTATACATTTGATCCCAAGCTACTAAATGAGCCCGCCTTCTGCTATCCTGATCTCCCCAAATGAAAGCCCTTTGTATCTGGTCAATTTCATCACAAAACGTTACTGGTAAAAGACCATTCTGCATATGGAAAGAAGGGATTGCAGCAATGACCGATTTCACCAAAGTAACTCGACCAGCAAAAGAAAGGCAATGGCTTTTCCAACCATCCAGTTTTGAACGTATCCTATCCTTGATAGCTCCATAGTCTGCTTTAATATATCTCCCCTGTTTAACAATAGAGCCTAAATATCTGCCAATACTAGAAGTGCGCTTAAAGCCCATTCTGTTGACAATCCTTGCAGCAACTTGAGTATCAGTATTCGGGGAAAAATAAATCAAAGATTATTTGCACTAACACTTTGCCTCGACATCTCACAAAAGAGATTAATACAATCCATAATCACCTTAGCTTGCTCCATATCTGCTTCCGCAAAGAGAATGATATCATCTGCAAATAAAAGGTGGGATACACTCGGCCCTCTTCTGCAGACTCTAATAGGCTTCCACGAACCCATAGTCACTTTTTCAGCGATCAAGTGGGAAAGCTTCTCAACACACAACACAAAAATATAAGGAGAGATTGGATCCCCTTGACGAATTCCTCTCTGAGGAACTATGCAATCCGAAGCCACACCATTTATCAAGACCCTCGAACGATTAGAAGTTATAGAAGCCATTATAACACCAATCATCCAATCAGGAAACTGAACTTCAATAAGCACTTTATAGATAAAACTCCAACTGAGTTTATCATAAGCTTTTTCAAGGTCCAGTTTGATTGCCATTGTACCTTTCTTTCCTTTTACTCTCCCCATAGAATGAACCAGCTCCTTTGCTACTATAATATTATCCTGAAGCTGACGATTTGGCACGAAGCTAGCTTGGTAAGGAGAAACTAAATTCTCCATTGTAAGCTTAAGCCTATCCACAATGATCTTGCTCATACCCTTATAAATGACATTACACAAAGAAATAGGCCTGAATTGAGAAACATACATTGGCTTAGGAACTTTGGGGATCAAAGTGATCAGAGTACCGTTGACTTCCTCAATGCTGGAAGGGTTTTTTGCGTAATACTTGATATCTCTCCAAATCTGTTCACCAATAAATTCCCAGTTCTTTTTGTAGAATGCTGCGGTATAGCCATCCTCCCCTGGAGCTTTCGAATCTTTCATAGAAAAGAAAGCTCGTCTGACTCATCTTTTGAAATTGGAGCACCTAAGTTAACAGCAGTCTCATCGTCCACCTTTGGCCAAAGAGTCTGGACCCAAGGACGATCATGGTTTTCTTCATAAAATAGTTTAGAGAAGTAAGCATTTATTACCCGTGCAATGTTGTGATCTTCTCTAATCAAGTTTCCAGCATCATCTTTCAACTCCAAGATCTTGCTCCTTCTACGTCTAACAATTGTTTTTGTATGATAGTACTTTGTATTCCTATCTCCTTGAGCTATCCAAGTAGCACGAGATTTTTAAAACCACAAAAGTTCCTCCTGTTCTAAAACTTGTTCAAGTTCACCCCTTATCTTGCCTTCAATCTTTTCCAAATGGCTTTTATTTTGCTCAGAAATTGCCCTCTGGATACCTTCAAGCCTACCAATCAACATGTTCTTCTTATGATGGATATTACCAAACACATCTTTATTCCACTGCTTAATAAGAGGAGTGAAATCACGAAGACTATCAACTGTTCTTTGATCCTGACGCCAGTTTTCCTTGATGAAATTGTTAAAAAATTGATGATCCAACCAAAAAGAATGAAAACGGAAAGGGCGTTCCACCCCATCAACTTTGCTTGGCTCTAAGGTAATAAGGATAGGATTATGGTCACTGTTAATACGAGGAAGCACTTGAACCTGGCCTTCATGAAACATCAACCTCCATTCAGCATTGCTTCAAGCTCGATCTAAACGTTTAAAGACTCTATCTAAATGAAGAAATCTTGGTCCTCGCCATGTAAATTTAGAACCTATTCCTTCAAGATCAATCATCTTTATATCAGTTAGAAGAGAAGAAAATTTATTACATCTGCTAGTATCAATTGGAGAACCACCACGTTTCTCACTTGGAAAGGCAATTTCATTAAAATCACCTGCAATTAACCAAGGAACCGAGATATCTTCTGATAACTGAAGTAAATCATCCCAAAGTCTCTTCCGAATTTCTTCTCTAGGACTTGCATAGATAACAGTATAAAGAAAAGCTTGATGATCTGCCAATGTAACACGAACATGAATAAATTGATGGGTCTGTTTTAATGCTTGAACCTGACACCTATCATTATTCCATAGTAACCAAAGACCTCCCGTAAATCCATGAGCATCCTCCACTATTGAATTATTAAAACCCAGCTTTTTTATTATCTGTTTTGCTTTTGAACCACTTACTCGAGGTTCAAGAATAGCTGCCACCTCAATCTTATGCCTTCGAACCATCATTTGAAACGTTGATTTGAAGCACTTTTTAGCCGCCCCGCGGCAATTCCATGTAACTAAAGACATTAATCAATGGTAATTTGGCAGGATTGTGGGTCCACTGCCATCCCATTGTCATTGCACTGAATTTCAGATTTTGAAATCATCTCCACCTCAATATTGAGCTTAAGGTTTATTGGGATATGCTTTCCTTTATCTCTACTTGGATCAGGCGCTTTTGGTTGGGACAAGCCATGATCTAAGCCGTTGATATTTTGACCATCCTTATCCACCTCCATTTGATAACAATCTTTGTTATAATCAGCAACAGTACTCCTAGCCACCATGGAATCTCCACCGCTTTTACCTCCAATGTCCTTACTATTATGAATCGCAACTTGCCTCCTCAAGTTTGTTGTATTATTGTTTGAGGTACCTCTGTCAACTATCTTCCCATTTATTTGATTCTCTTTTTCATGACCTGTCGTAATCCCACTTAACGTAAATCGGTTGGGGTGTTCCTGTAATTCAACATTAGGACGGCTTCTAGGGTTTCTGTGGTTGGACCCCTGAGATGTACTAATATCAATATTAACAGGAGGGCCCACCATATTGACGTCATTTATAACAGCATCCGGATTAGTCGCTGGGATATCATGAGTAATATCATCTTCATTAGAGCCCATTAAAGCAGCGTAATGGGAATTTGATTAATTATCAATCATAACCGGCTGATTTGATTGCGGTTGATTACTCCCTTAAATACAAGGAGTTTAGTATCTAAATGTTTGAGATTCTCTCGCACTATTTGGTGAAAAATGGAAGCATTCATTTCCTCATTTTTGAGATTTAATTCGCTGTTATAATTAATTTTTCAACACATTCCTCAGTTACTTATAAGTTTTGATGAAAATTACACATATGAAAAATGATTTTATTAAAAAAGGAATCAATGATGGAAATATAATAAAAACTGCATTCTGACTTAGGTAGCCATGCATTGTTCTAGTTTATCTCTTGTCGTGCAAATCTGAACAATAATTCCTCATGTTTGATTCTTTTTCACAAATTGTTCTACTATATGAACAATTTCTTTGAAATTGACTAGTGATAGATCTTTCAGACTATGTCTCAAGAGAAATAGGATTGGTGTATGGGTACTTTTTTACTATCAAGAAATAATGTTACCTCAGTCTCTCTGCAACCACAAAATGAAGAGCTGAGAAGCTAATGACTATAAGTGTTGAATATATATATGGGTTCTAAAAAATTCTAACATTAACTGAATGTGCTCTAGGCTTCTTAGACTCTTCTTACCCACTAAATCCAATTGGATTTTAGTGAAAAGCAAACCCAACAATTATGGACTTGAATAAATTATCCGTATAGTCAATAAATATAAAAAATGGGAATTTATTTATTTTTAATTAGAAGCTTTGACAAAAGACTGATATACTTGGCTGGAAATGAAATCTCTAACATAATTTACAATTTCTAAAAACTGTTGAATTTTTTAATAGTTATATTTTCACCGGCAAACCTTGTCAGATAATGCCAAATGAGTTATAAACTTATTAGCTCCTCAAATTTTTATTTAAATACAAACGCATAAATTATTTACCAGATTGTATTGTTGAGATATTCAAGTGTGATGAGTACCACATTGGTTGGTAATGAGCTAAGTGAAGAGTATATAAGTGAAAGGACCCATGAACCCATTGCCTTAAGGTTTTGGGTTGAGACATGGTGTCGGATCCACTTGCTACGGTTGGTGTAGCCTTAGCTCATTGGTGGTGGTTCCCCGCCACGGGCTTCCCCTGGACCCGCTTGACATTGGAGTTTGAGGGAATGAATTTCCCAACAGTGGTATCAGAGCCGGGTTAGGCTTGAGCTAGCCTAGTAATTGGCTAGGAGGCGGGTCGAGTACTTTACGCTTCGGGTACTCGGTTGAGGGGGAGCATACCAATGGTGGGTTTCACACTTGAAGGGGAGATTGTTGAGATATTCAAGTGTGATGAGTCCCACATTGGTTGGTAATGAGCTAAGTGAAGAGTATATAAGTGAAAGGACCCATGAACCCATTGCCTTAAGGTTTTGGGTTGAGACATGGTGTCGGATCCACTTGCTACGATTGGTGTAGCCTTATCTCATTGGTGGTGGTTCCCCGCCACGGGCTTCCCCTGGACCTGCTTGACATTGGAGTTTGAGGGAACGAATTTCCCAACATGTATTTCACTTTATTTATTTTATACTGTATTAGTTAATAGGTTAATCTTAACATAAATAACTCAACTGAAATAAAGTTTGACTAAACTTGTTCCCTTAAAGCTGTACTTATTTCATAACTCAAAAAAGAAAAAGAAAAATACTAATTTCATCATATATTTAGAAACAACAACAATGTTAATTTTTATAAAAACTACAGAAGACCTGCATTTTGATATATTGAATTATGGCCTTGGCATAATTGTATTTTATAGGGTTTTTGACCCTTTTGCCCCTAATTAAATAATTAATAACCAATTTGCCCCTCCCCCAGAACTATCCACCATCCTGCCCCCATTTAGTCGATTATGTTGCACTTTTAATCGACTAAATGGGCTAAACTCAGAAATTATGAAACGCGAATTTTAGTCGACTAAAAACTCACCTTAATCGACTAAATTGTTTGCACTTTTAGTCGACTAAGCACATTATTTAGTAGACTAAAGATCGCGAAAAACCCTATATCCAGACCTCTCTTGGGCTCATTTTCAAAATATTCGAAATCAAAACTTCTCTCTTGGTCTCTTTCTCTTGTTTGTCAGCTGGGAACCTTCCAATCACCCTTCCATTTCATCCCACCACCTCTAAGACATAGTAATTGTGAAATCATTGTCATTTTCCTTTATTTCTCAATTGTTTCCCCCAAATCCGAACCCTAACCCCTAAAATCTGATTCCTACCCCCAAAATTCGTGTGAAAGATGAGCTCAAGTCCAAACATGTATGTTACCATGATTTACTATGATGGAAAGCATTATGAAGGCCCCAACGGTGTTCAATTTGAAGGAAAAACGAAAATGTTGAAAATCAAACAGGGCACTACGTACAATGAGCTGAAAGGGAGGATTAACCAAAAATTGGGGCTACACGGGAGCCATGGCGTTCAACGGATGATCGCCAGGGTAGAGTCTACAGTTGGTAAGGATGCTATATTCTACATTGGTAAGGATATATGTGACGATGAAGATGTGGATTGTGTCATAGATGCAATTATGGACCGAAAATTTCAAAACTTTATTGAGATATATGTTGAAATAGACTGTGGTCAATCTTCATCTGCATCTGTGCATGGAAGAAGTCAAAGTCAAGAAGACAGAGTCGTCGGTTTATCTGCACCTGCACCTGTCTTAAGTCAGATACCACTGAGGGAAATAGACGAGGATGAGGATGGGCATGACGAGGATATGGACAGTGAAGACGATGGTGAACCCGAGAGTGTTATTCCGCTGGGTGACACCTCAGATACGGACGTAGAGGGGAATTTTGACGCTGATACTAGTTCAGGAAACTTGAGTTCCCAGGTTATGCCATCGCTCCGTGTTGACCCTGTTAGCAGTGGTAAGATCTTAATATAAAGTTTTAATTTTGAAAAGATATATATTTGTGTTTTCTTTCGTACTGACAGATAAGTTTAAATTTGGACGTAGGGTCTGAGATTGAGCCATTTTGGAACGACAGCCCACACTATTCGTTCATTAATTGGGCTCACCCTAATGATGAGACGGAGATATTGTATGGCGACGATGACATCCATGGTGGCTGGCATTTAGGAGATCCATTATATTTGTACCAGGAGTTTCGAACTAAATCTGAAATGCAACATGCTGTCAAATTATATTGTATGAAGTCTCATCGTACTGCTGTGGTGGCAAAAAGTGATGACCATAGATTTGTGATGAAGTGTCGACACCATAATGATGGTTGTCCCTGGTACGTGCGGGCTATGTTGCCCAAGAATGGAAATAGTTGGGTTGTTAGTAAGTGGGGTAAAAAACACACCTGCCTAAACCAAGGCCTTACTCGGGACCATAGACAACTGGATTCTGATGTAATCTGTGCAGCCATTATAAGTATGTATTACATTCATTTTTGTTTATGGTTTAATTTTTCGGTATATTTATTGATTGTGTTGACTTCGAATTTTTTGTAGGTATGTTAAAAGAAGATCCATCCACGAAACCAGTTCTTATTCAGGAGAGGGTACAAAGTTTGTATGGATACAACATATCTTATAGGAAGGCTTGGAAGGCTAAAATGAAGGCCATTGTGAAGTTGTTTGGCGACTGGGAAAAATCATATGCCATCTTACCTGGTTGGCTGAACTACATGACACAGATAAATCCTGGTTTTGTGTTCAAGATTGATACGGATCAGTGTTGTGACGAACGACGAGTCTACACCGATAAGGCTGTCTTTCGCAGGGTATTTTGGACTTTTCACCAGTGCATTGAGGCTTTCAAATATTGTAAACCCATAATCCAAATTGATGGCACGCACCTGTACGGGAAATACAAAGGTACCCTCTTGATTGCTACGTCACAGGATGGTGATGGATTCATTCTGCCTATTGCGTTTGCCATTGTTCCACCGGGTGAGAGATTGGATGATTGGTTGTGGTTTCTTAGCCAGATGCGTTTTCATGTCACATGTAGGCATGATATCTGTCTAATATCCGATCGTCACCCCAACATCATCAGGGCTGTGAAGGATCATGCCGGTTGGCAGCCTCCATTTGCGTATCACGTGTTTTGTCTTCGTCACATTGGAAGCAACTTCAACACTAAGTTTAGGGACGTGGAACTGAAGAAAACGCTGATGAAACTAGGTAACCTATTTACATGAATTTTGTACATGTTGTATGTAATGTTGTTTATGTATAACTCATTGCAATTTGGGTTCATTTTTTGCAGGTTACATGTGTTCGAAGATTCACTTTGATTTAAGATTTCAAGAATTTGTCGACAGTAACCCACAAGT